AGTTTTTTTTTTAAATATAATTTTCCATTTTTTAAGTGTTCATGGAAAAAGAATTGAACAAAGTCACTTCTTGAATAGAGAGCATCAAGCATTTTACCTTCTCAGAGAGAATGGTAATTAGTATAATTTATTTTTAAAAATATTTAATTACGGCCTATTATCACATTATTCGTAACTTAAAATTATTTATATTTTGTATTATATTTTTTCGATGTGTTTCAATTTAAACTTTTTTGTTAATATTCTACTATGCAAAATGACATACAAGCTACACATGTCAATTTTATGACTGGAATAAACATATTTATTTACACAAATGTAAAAAATGTACACAGATGTTCATCTCCTATAAAGAAATATAAGAGAGAACATAGATATGGATATTGCCTGCATGACCAAAGACGCCAATATTATGTATTTAAACTTTAATTTTTGAATAAATGTTTTTATCTTAAAATTGTCTCGTGTTAATATTAATGAAAGGTTAAAATTGAAACAAATGTCAGCAATTTTTTTTTTTTGTTGATGGGTATAGTGCTACAATGTAAATTGTCTAAAAGTCAATAAATAAATAAAAAATAACAATTCAGTTACAAGTTTTAAAAATAATTTTAAATACATGAAAAAAAAATTACAAAATTATCTTTTAACATATTAAAGTTCATCATTAATATGTAAATATATTTTTTAAGCAACAGTGCTACATACACACAATTTCTTTTCCACAATTCCCGTAATGAGGTGACAAGACAGAAGAATGCATGTAATAAGAGTTTTGAAAACATGAATCATAAATCTCAAAATAGTTTTCCAAAACAAAATTGAAGAATATTTTCTTGAATTTTTTTTTTACACATTCAAAAATTTCTAAGAATATTTTTTCATTCATTTTTGTAAGTATAGTTTTTCAAAAGAGTTGTGAATTGAGTTTTGGGTAGCATTGGACACTTACACCCACCTACATCATTTACACCACCATTTACACAATTTGATATATTGACCAACCACTACTGATTGTATCATTAATGAGGTCACCAAACTCTCTCAAAAATTATCTTTAAATGGTGCATAGTTGCTTGCATGCATCCCACAGAAGCTTTTCATTTTGTTGACGAAGCAAAGCACTCTAAACCTACAATATATCTAAACAAGCAAAGCAGTCTCTCCATTGATTCTTTGAATCCATCTCCCAAACACCAATCAAACTGAATAAATATTAAAATTCGTGTGTAAACACAGGTAAATTTCTATATTCAGTGTCTTGGTGTACATTTCATGATATTGCTCTAAATATATCATCTGTAAATTTATTTGTTTTATCCCTGATTTTTTTTTTCAATACATGCAATACTTCCATGTTATTGTTAAAATTCTATTGGTCTATTTTTTTCTTAGCATCAAAAAGTGATGGCTCCTCGCACTAAAAAGCCTAGAGCTCGAGAGGCTGGAGAGTCATCAAATCAAGAACAGCAATATCCATCAATTGACTTCCTTTCATAGAACCAGGAATTTGAATTTGCCACTATTTCTTCCTGTTCAATCGTTAGTGGCCGAAGAGTCAACCTTGCCCCAAAATATGATGCCCTGTTGATGAACAAACTTGAAGCCATGGGATGGCAAAACTTGATAAATTTGCCTAAAAAGGTATATCCCCGTCTTCTTGCCCTCTTTTATTTGCATCTCAAACATTCGAATGTCAAAGAAGATGACTACACTGTTGAGTCTTATGTGAAAGGCAATTTCATTTCATTTACTATTCCAACATTGGCTTCTATTCTTCATATTGAACAAAGCAATAACCAAATATATTTTCAAAATGAGTAAGAAATGGCTGATACTGTGGGCAATATCACTGAAGTTTATTCTACCATCTGCATTAGTAAAACTATGGGCTCAAATCTACTTGCCAAACACCTAAAACCACATATTCGCAATCTCCACCGTTTTTTATTAGAGAATGTAATTCCGAAAGCAGGCCACTACGATGTTATTCCCACTTTTCATGCTTACCTACTCTATTGTTTTGAGGTTGGTCAACCTATTGATTTGTGTTATATTATTATGCAATAAATGACTCTTGTCTCATTCACGCGAGACAAAGCTTTAGCATTTGGAGCCTTGTTGACCAAAATCCTCAAAAACTTCAAAGTTAGCTTTGCCAATGAGCCCAAATCTCATATTGCCTCCAACATTAGTGAGTACACAATAAACCAAGTTGGAGGAGGTGATGTTTTGCTTGTGAGCATGGCTGCTACTGATGTTCCCATGGATGATCCTCAACATTATCTTGAAGTTGCAATGCCACAACCACAGCAACAGCCTCCTGCCTATTGGACAGACTTTACGGCAATGGAGCAAGAACACTACAATCAACGCATTCAATGGGAACAACAAATGGCCACTCAAATGAATTCCATCTCTCAACAATTTGGTGCGCTCAATACCCGTGCTGACCAAATTGAGACACGCATGGATGCCATATACCAATACCACTTTCCTCTGCCACCGCCTAATCTTGAGCAGTGATCCTCTTGATGTTGATAATCTCATAGTGACATTACTGATTATAATGTTTTTATGTAGTTTTCTTTTCGTCTTGTTTTTTTTTTTTTTTCTTTCACTTATATGTTGTTTTATTTTGCTCCTATTTTTTTTTTTCTAGCAGACCTCAACACGAAGTCCATGAGATGTGATAGTAGTTGTTTTACTCCTGAGCATCAATATTTTTTTTTTTTTTCAATTTCATGGTTTAATTGAGTGGAATGGTGATCAGTTTATAAATATTTTTTTATAGATCAATTAGTCTCATTAATTTTGAAAATTGAGTTTATAGTTATACCCTTATTTCTACTTCTTCTTCTTCTTCTTCTTCTTTTTTTTTATTTTTTTTATTTTTTTTATTTTTTTTATTTTTTTTACGAGAAAAGTAATACACAACCTATTATAAGATCTTCTAATATGAGAATCTCTTTTTGGGATAGGGTGTGGTTATTAAAATTTTGCATGGATTTTGATATGGGAATCTTTTTTGTTTGAAATGTGAGATTCTTCAAATATTTTTTTTAAAAAAAAGTACAAAAACCTCTTAGTAAGCTTTGAGAAAATATATAATTTCAAACTATGGGGTTTTGATTTGGAATGACTTGAAATGTAGGATTTTTCAAACATTCCAATAGTACAAAAACCCCTTAGTAAGGCTTGTGCTAATGTGTAATTTCAAATTGTGGGATTTTGATTTGAAATGGCTTAAAATGTGGGATTTTTTCAATCTGAGTCGAGCAAGACTCATTTGGCTATGGTGTTTGGACTCATTGGAGCCTGTGTTGCCGCCTTCGTAATGTCGGTTTTGTTGGGTTTTTATTATTGTTGGCATAAGAAATAGGGGAATAATAAGAGTGATGTGATTGGTTTTGGGTTGGATATGAAGGAGGTGGAATCGAGGCTGCGAATGAGGCCTAATGCGGGGTCAATCTAGTTCAAGATTGATGAACTTTCCAAGGCAACTAAGAATTTTTTGCAGAAGAATTTCATCAGGATAGGCGGGTTTGGTGTTATGTATAAAGGGACTTTGTCAGATGGGACTATGGTTGCTGTGAAACAACTGATCGAATCCGATTTTCAGGGGAATGAAGAGTTTTGTAATGAAGTTAAGATCATTAGCAATTTGAAGCATAGAAATTTGGTTCCACTTAGAGGTTGTTATGTGATTGGTGAAGAAAATGGAGAGTATAAAGATGGGGAAAGGCAGAGGTACCTTGTTTATGATTGCATGCCAAATGGAAATCTTGATGATCATTTGTTTTGGTCAGAGAAACAGAGTATGGTTAGGAAGCAGGCATTGACATGGCCTCAAAGAAAGAGCATAATTTTAGATGTGGCAAAAGGGTTAGCTTATCTTTACTATGGAGTCAAGCCTTCTATATATCATAGAGACATTAAAGCCACAAATATACTTTTGGATGCTGATATGAGAGCTAGAGTGGCTGATTTTGGGTTAGCAAAGCAAAGCAGAGAAGGGTAGTCTCATCTCACTACTAGAGTGGCTGGTACACATGGTTACTTAGCCCCTGAGTACGTGTTCTATGGGCAATTGACAAAGAAGAGCGATGTTTATAGTTTTGGGGTGGTTATTTTGGAGATAATGTGTGGAAGGAAAGCTCTTGATTTGTCTTACAATGGATCGCCACGGGCATTTCTGATCACAGATTGGGCTTGGTCATTGGTGAAGGCAGGGAAAATAGAGGAGGATTTGGATAATTCTTTGTTGGGAGATGGAAATTCGGCGAATTCGAATCCAAAGGCTATCGTGGAAAGATTTGTGCTTGTTGGAATTTTGTGTGCTCATGTGATGGTGGCTCTAAGGCCAACTGTTTTGGACGCAGTGAAAATGTTGGAAGGAGATATTGAGGTTCCTATAATCCCTGATAGGCCAATGCCTCTTGGGCATCCTTCTTTTTCCAGGGATGGGAATACCTTCAGCATATCGCCAGCGGTGAGTGGACCTAAATTGAATTCTGGAGACATGCTAAGGTGATTGAGAGAACTTGTAATGTTTGTATATCTCTTTATTGATCAAGAGGATAGATGGAGATGGAAACCATAATCTTGGAACTCCTTTTTGGAGTTGGTTCATGGAATGAAATAGAGAAGATGAGGAATTCAAGAAAAAGCCAAATTCCCTAAATACATTAATCAATTGAAGGAATTGAAAATGGGTGTGAACATAGATTTCCTACACCATGGATCTTTCTGGTGCGTGGAATAAAAATGATAAAATGGTATGCCATATGTTCGAAAATATGGTAAGATAGGATAGATTTGTATAGCTTACATGTAAGGTACTTTTAAAATAATTTTCTTTTGGTTCGTTACATTTGAATTTTGTTTTTCAATGAATCATTTTAAGAAAATATACTGGAAAGTTTTATGAGATCGTTTTTCCATTTTGAGACAACTTATAATATTTATTGAACTCCTTATTGTTCAAGAGGATGAAGGGAAATGGAAACCATCCTCTTGGAACTCCATTTTTGAGTTGGTTCATGCAATGTTACAAAGAAGATAAGGATTCATGTAAGGCCAAAGTCCTCTATATACATTGACAACTTGGAGGAATTGAAAATAGGTAGATGAAGAAATTCAATTTCTTCCCATTAGACACCCTGAGAAATGGGTGTCAGGCTTCATTAGATCACTTGAAAAATGGTGGGAAAACAATAGAAATTTGGTATCTTTTACATCTGTCCCAAGTGTTTGCAAGATTCCAATCTTTATTCTGTTTGTTCCATTTTTGTCAGTAGTCAACAATTCTCTATGGAAAGAAGTTATTCAGTACTGTTGGTGGCATTATCCCAGTAATAAATGAGACATACGACACCTTTGTGCGAAGCCGAGCACAATATATGTAGAATTCACACAAATACATGATCTCAAATGTCATTGGATAATGTCACCAACTATATTGAATAATTTTTCTATCATGCGACCATGTAAGGCCAAAGTCCTCCATATATACATTGACCAGTTGAAGGAATTGAAAATGGGTGTGGAGAAATTGAGGGGAAAACAATAGAAATTTGGAATCTCAACATGTGTTCAAGTGTTTGGAATATGCTAGTCTTTGTTATGTTTGTGCCATTTTTTGGTCATTAGGCAACAATTTTCAAATGGAAAGAATATCCATGATGAGATATCCATGTACCATTTGGACTATAGTTACACATTTGGAAGCTTGTAGTTTTGGTAATTCCTTGTACAAAAGTTGGTTTTCTTTTAGATTCTATTGTTTAAAGCCTTTTTCCTCCTTTTTTGTTGGATATTATCTATAAATGAATTTTGCTGATGTGTACTCTTAAGGTACATATTAAAATGTTTCAAAATATTGTACATTACCATGAAAGTGAAAAATATTATGATGTGAAATTTGATGATTATCAGGTATGTCCAATGTACATAGATGACTAAACGGCCTAAATTATTTGACCAACTAGTTGAGAAATATGACTTGTCATGGAATTCGATACTATCATGATGTATATGACACTAGGAAAGTAGTTATATCGAGGATGAAATCTACTTGTTTGACCAAATGCCAAAGATATTTTGTTTCTTGGAAAACAATGATTACTTGCAATGAACAAAATAGGAAGATAGCAGAAATAATGAATATTTTCATTAGCATGACCAAGCATGATGTGAGTTTTTTGAATGTTGTGATTTATAAACTTTTACACAATAATAATGTGAAAAGCGCAATTGAGCTTAGTCATAAAATGTTGAGTGTGTAATAGTTTCTTGTAGTTTACATGTATTGAGTTTGATTCAAAATGATGAATCAGACAATATTGTGAAATTATTCTTGGAAGTGGGGAAAAAATTATGACATAGAAGATTTAGTTCATACTTGTAACATTTCGATTGTTGTGTATGTTCAAAGAGTATGAGTTGATAATATTTAATCTCTTTTTGATCAAATTCTCTTTTTCTTTAATTTTGATTGTATAAGGAGAGATAATGAGCGGTTTGAAAGAAATGCGACGTTTAATTTGATAGTGTTTACTTGTAGGGTGTTGACTTGGATTGTGGTGCCGGTGGATGCTAGAAGTGTTGATGTGGTGAGAAAGACGACAATAAGAAGATAGGGG